GACACAATCTATCCGTGGCAACGGCGTTGATGCATATCTTGTGGAGAGAGCATTCACATATTTTTCAGCCTAACGAATAATTGCTAGAAAACTTAATATTCGCAGACATAGAAAAATATGTGAGGCGCAAGTGGCTGGATCGGGAATCGAACCCGAGTCTTTCGCTTTCCGGGCAATTGCTCTAGACCACTAAACTATCCAGACCTCACACCTAATGCTGTTTTTTAACACAGCGATATGCAATTCGAAGCGATGTTGGTATCTCATTCGATGCAATGCCGATTGCCATGGAGGATTCCTGAAAGGTCGCTCGCTGACCAAATAAGTGCCGGAGGTATTCGCGTGCATGCTGGCTTCCGACTGGCCTTCCGTATGAAACGGCACCGATGAGTACAACGCCATAGAGACCAAGATCATCGCCATCCTACAAGATCTCTCTAGTATATACTAAAATCTCCACTGGAATCCATCCATCAAATAGCAGTGGTGGATGGACCCTAAAATAGGGCCGTGGCAAGCCTCCAACTCATATGTATTATTATTTTTACAAATTTAATTCCAAGTAAGATGATAGTTTATATTGTAACTCTATAGATTTATTGTATTTCCGTAATTATATATATAATGACTATATCTCTATTTTTTATTTTTGTTTCAACACAGAAAATAATACAGAAATGTAAGTATGATTGAATAATATTTCTGCATCTTATATAAAATGTAAATTCTGTATCTTATATAAAATATAATAATATATGTATATCTTTTTATTATTATAAGTAGTAATTTACTAATATTATACTTATGTACTTATACTTTTTATATTATATATTTTTACTTTTCTATCTATTAAGTTGATTTATTGATATTTAATTTTTACAACAAATTAATATAATAAACTTTTTTCATTAATATAATATTTTTTAATCAGCTAACAAAGTTTTAATCGATTAATTGGTATTATTTTTCCAGATATTGTAACCTGAAAAAATCATCAATATTTAGGAATAAACACATAGAAATTAATACAAAAGAAAATATTTATAATTTTAAATCGAAAAATAATACAAATAGAACGATTAAACGAATAGATAATGACACATACACACATAGTATATTATAGTGATTGCATGCCTAATAATCTTCGTAGAAATAATAGTTTTCAAGCATAAACATCAATGGATTGTTGAGAGGTAAAATTATTTCTGCAATAATTATCTGTCTTATATAATTTTAGATTCAATTAATTAATTTTTTGTATCTATTTATATAAAAAGTTTTATATATATTTAATTATATTTTATATATTTCATAGAAATTATAGTGACAACAAAAATTTAAAATATAAAATACAAATTAAATTAATTATTAAAACTTTGTTACTATGCTTAATACTATAACGTGCGGTTTTCCTACCGCGAAATTTCTAATTTTTGAATAGCCGTCGAATCCAGATGACGAGTAAAATAACCATCGGCGTGTGTATGTGTAATAAAATGTATTTATTTATTCTCTGTGTGAGTGTATAGATGTATGCGAGTTCGTGAGTTTACAATGTTCGCGTGTGTGTGTGCGTTCGTATCGACGCGCAGCGGATCGAGATATAATCGACGCGGACCGAGAATTTACGGAATTCCGGCGTGAAATAATTGACGCACTTGTAATCGGTGAAGTTACGTCTTAATAGCGAGCCCGTGGGTTATATTTCAGCCGTGGACGTGTCACGGGTCTTACGGAGATTTCGATTCGTATAATTAGCGACGCGGAAACAATACACTGAAAAAAAGTAATGTTGAATTAACAACATCAGTGTAATTGGAATTTATTTTATTAATTCGATAGTATTAATCAAATCAATACATGGTGTATTAATTTGATTAAAAATGTTATTGAATTAATAAAATAAATTTTAATTACATTGATGTTGTTGGTTCAACATTAATTTTTTCTTAGTGTATAATATACGAATATGTGCAATATACGTTCGCTCGTCTAGCGGTACGGTACGCTTGAGTTTTTTATTAACGCGGATTGTCTGGGGCGTTTTTGCCGCGTTTCCTACCGGTGTTTATGTCTCGTCCGTCAGCTGTTTGAGCTTTAAACTTGGTTATTTAAATGCTGTCGCTAATATTTTCCCCTGATGGATTGCGGGCTTCGGAAGGCGTCGCGACGCTAGCAAGCGTCGGAGACGGCTCAAATTCCACCCCCATAAACAAAAAAGTTTATTAACAATAACATAAAGATTTATTTACTGTAATGCTACTTACAGTAATGCATGCTAGCTAATTTTTTTTAAGTTATGCTAACTTCTACAAGACTCGCTGTTTTTAATAGTATTTTATCGGTAAGTCTGCTAAACATATTTGCATATAGATTATACAATCGCATTAATAATGAAGTCAAGGTTTTTCACCTCCAACTTTATAATTATGCAGTCAAAAGCGAAAAACCTTGACTTCATGCAACTGTTTAATTTTTGCCTAGTTACGCAAACGTTTAATATTTTGCAGAATAAAGTTGCAATAATTTATATTGCGGAAACTTATTATTCTAAGTTATTGTAAGCCATAAAACATTTATTATCGTGCATCTCAAAAATAGTTATTTTAAAAATATATTAATTTTTACGTACGCAAATTTTTAAATCGTAATTAAATCTTTTATCTGATTTCAACTTTATATTCATTAAATGTTAACGTTAGATACAGTAGGCGCCAATAATGCCTTAACATATGAAATTGGTCACATTCGAGGCTAGTAATAACTAAACGCATTTCATTAAGCTATTCATGCATCATGACTATTAGTTAGAAAAGGAATTGACAATATTTGTTTTGAAATTATGCCTACAATCTATTATAAATTGCATTTAAAACTGTTAAACAGATGTGTGTGGATACAATTCCAAAATAAGTTGTCGGTTCCTTTTTAAAATTAACAGTTATGATTCATGCACCTACTGTACATTTGCATAACTAGATAAAGGTTAAACAGTTGCATCTAACATATTAAAAAGGCACACAATAATTGACGTAAATCAATGTTTTCATTTCCATTAAACAGTTGCATCTAACATATTAAAGAGATACACAATAACTGACGCAATTCAATGTTTTTTCTTTGTTATTTTCTGTCCTTTTTACTCTTTGTAGCAAATCTCTTTTTTATTAATTAATAATAATTCTTCTTTTTAATTAATTAAACGTTTTTAATAATATAATCGAAAAAATATATTAATTTTAATTTATCAATGTGACATATATAATATAAACAAAAGAAAATAAGGAGATAAGATAAATCTCTTATAATCTGTTTTTATATTTCATATTATATTTCATATTAATTCATCATATTTCATAAGTGTAATCTTTATATTATATTTCATTTTTATTTTATCTTTATTCTATCAATAAAAGATATCAAAAAAATAAAAAATTGAAAATATTATTGGAATATTTTTCTGCACATATTTATTCATATTATTTAATTAATTATTTTACTGCTATATATAATTTATGGTTGAGAGTGAAATGAAATTTGTGAAATTTAAATTAATATCAAATTTGATATTTAACGAAAAGAAAAAAAGGGTGTCAAGTTTACATTTCTCAAAAAACTGAATAAATAAAACCGTTGTATTTTTCTTATTGAAGAGAAACATCATACAAAATGTATTATTTCATGTATATTTTGTTGCTTAAATCTATTTTATCTAAAAAATCGATATCATTAAATTGTGTAAATTACAAAATATTTTAAATTAATAAAGAAACTATTTGGAAACATTATTATTATGTAAACACATAAAAAAAATTATTTAAAATGATATCAAACGTAAATTTTACCTTAACATAGGTAAAGATAGCAATTTTATGGCATTATTATTATGTGCTGACAGAAATATAATTTAATTTTATTACATAAAAACAAAATATTTTTATTTTGCAAATAAATTATTAAAAATTAAAACAAATTTTTTGATACACACATTTAAACTGTATGGTAAAATATTGCAAGTAAATCTTTTATATTTTGTAATTTTTATTGTATTGCATTTAAAATGCTCACATTTTTATTAACATTTAAAAGTAATATATAAATTATTTTTTGAGATCATCTAAAATTGTGTGTATTTTAAATTATTATGTGAAATTATTTTTATGCTGAAAAAGACAATTTAATACATTTTTATAGATATCAATTTTATTTTATATTTTCAAGATGTTCAAGATTTATGAAGAATTGTAGAAAATTAATTTATGAAAATAAAATTATGTCGGAGCATAATAAAAATTCACAATTATATTTATAGATATAATTTTAATTCATCGAATTTTTATTATGTTACGACATAATTTTAATTCAAGCTGGTGATTCTTTAGGCTACAATATTAGCAGCACTGAGACGACATATTCTTGGTGTAATTTTTTGATATTATTTTTATAAAATATATGTAATTATATTGAAATAATTTGTTGCCGCATGAACTTGGCACTTTTTTTACATTTTTTAGAAAGGTAAATTTTTAGAATATTAATTTCCCAGTGTTAACCAGTGTATTTTCATATATACATATTTTAAATATCTTGCGCGTTTCTATGTTATACAATATTTAATTAAACGATTCAGTTGTATGTAAGATATCTCATCTTCTATCGATTCAAAATTTTTGCTAAATTTGCCTATTTTTATTTAAAAATCATTTCTAAATTTAATATAAAAATTATTGTACATATTTTTGATGTGAGTGTAATTTATAACATTGAAAAATTTAAACAAATTATATATTAAATAGAATAAATTATATATCATGATTTTGCAAACTATTGTCATGCTATTGTTAACTTTAATGAAAACATAATTTGCCTGCGTTGCATGTATTTATTCTTTTACCTCTTTGACCTCGATTTCCGATTTATGAATACATACAATTTCAGTCACGTGTTTAGCTTTAGTATATAATCGAAATCTTAGATTACTGTTTAGTAACGATATCGATTTAGAAAGAACAAAAGCTCTTTTAGATATATGTTCATATATTTTTTGCTCTTATTAATACTATTCTGTTTCTTTCATTTTAATAACGATGGATAAGAATACAGTCGATCCAACCAAGTCGATTCCGTCATTTTACGCTGGACAAAGTATATTTTTAACAGGCGCAACAGGATTTATAGGCAAAGTGTACATCGAGAAGATATTAAGATCTTGCCCGGATGTTCGAGAAATATTTATATTAATGCGCCCGAAAAAAGGCATAAACATTAACGAAAGACTTGAGAAAATGTTAAGTTTACCAGTAAGTTAGAAATAAATTTCTCTTACAAAACACACAATATTTTTAGAAATATTATTATAACATACTAATAAAAATTATATAAGATCAAACATGGAGAAACATTAAAAATAATAAATTGTAGGAGAAGTCATCAAATTATTTTACAATTTTTGCGTTTAAAAATACTTTAAAAATTTATGACAAATTTTTTATAAAAAAATATTCTATACGTAATATAATTTTTTCATTTTCCAGTTGTTTGATAAATTACGAGAGAAGCAGTCTTTAAATTTTAAGAAATTAATTCCAGTTCTTGGTGACATCAGTCAAGAAAATTTCAATTTATCTGTTGCCGATAGACAAATGCTGATTGAACGAGTAACTATAATAATTCATAATGCAGCAAGTGTGAAATTTAATGACAGCTTAAAATATGCTATCTTTACCAATACCAGATCAACGAGAGATATATGTATTTTAGCCGAAAATATAAAGAATTTAATAGTAAGTAAATGTAAATTAATTCTGTGTATTCGTATATTTATGTGTGTAAATTATCTTCCATAGATGTTTTATGCGATATATTAACTTATCATTATATATCTTTCTTTTTAAAAATACTTTTTATTTTTCAAAATTATGTTTATTCGGTGTATCTTAAAGAAATGTTCTCATATGACAGATTTCTTAATTAATTGTAAACATGCCTCAATATTTTGCTATAAACTTTTTAATTATAATATTATGGATAAAGCATAATTTTAATATTAATTGTTTTTCATATTAAAGGCTCTAGTATATGTTGGCACAGCATATGTACATTTGGATAATCCGTTTATAGAAGAAAAAGTGTATCCACCTATAGCTGATTGGCGGAAAATGATCAAAGTGGCCGAAATATTGGATGAACATAACCTCAGTATCTTTACAGCTAAGTAAATATGTCAAATATAAATTGAATATATATATATATATATATATATATATATATATGTATATGTATATGTATATATATAAATTTTATAAATATATAAAATATTCAAATATAATATGTGAAATATAATTAAAGACAAAATAATTTTTTTACATTTATCATACTGTTTCAATTACTCTTAATCTTTTAATTTGCCATATACATTTGAAATTATATACAGATGTTTAATTTGCCATAAACGTTTGAAATTATGTACAGATGTTTGGATTATATTCCTAATACTTATCTATTCTCGAAAAACTTAGCGGAAAGTGTAATACATGAATATTCTTCATCATTGCCGTGTGCGATTGTGAGACCATCCATAGGTAGGTTTTTTCCTATATTAAAAAGACATGGAGAAAAAAATATGAGCCTTCCTTTTTTTCTTTAATACTTTTTAAACAAGTTAGAAGTTTGTCCTTCTCTTTATAAAAAGTTTTAACGTTTAATATTTGTATTAGTACATTACAATAAAATACAAAATTATATATATACCATGAACGTGATATACAAATAAAAATAGAAAATTTTTAAATCGTACAAATATTTAATGCCAAATTTACATTAATGCGTTGTTGCATTCCTATCATTGTTATATAAATATTATTTAAATGTGTTATTACTTACAATAATTAATTTAATTATTTTATAAAATAAATCTAAATACTTAATTAAATGGTAAACTTTCGGAAAACCCACCTATATAAAATAATGGGTAAGAATACCCAATTCCTATTTATTAGTATTTCCTATTTCCTATTTATTAGTATTTTTATTAGTATTTTTACCTTTTGAACACGAATATGAAACTTAAAAATAACGGTCGGATTCGCAAGTCAAAAAGAAAACTCAAAAAATCAATAAACCTAGAAATGTATCTATATGAAATGGGTAAAAATATCTAATTCTTACATATATTTACTATCTATATATACAGGGTGTCCTAAAAGTCCCGAAACGGTCGAATATTTCATAAACGTAAAATGTTTCAGACAAAAGTTGTATGGCTTAAAGGGGGCCATCAGATAGTGGCAATGATTTGACGTGGGAGAATCATTTGAAAGTCATGTGAAGATCATCGTCAATTTCTTAAATGAAACTTCCTATTTTTTATTACATATTCGTGTAGCTTATCTCAAGAGCTTTCCAATACACTATAATTAAATATTTCTTCATTGAGTACTTTTCGAGTTATGAGGTTTGAAATCATTTCTTAATTTTACATAAACCGTAGAATATCTGGTAAAATATTCATTTGTCGATTATCTTACCTTAATAATTTTATGTACAAAATAACGAGAGGAATCAATTGGTGTAAAGAAAAAACATAGTTGTTTTTAAGAAAAAAATATGTAATTTGCAATTAACAATTACATATTTTTTTTTAAAACAACATTGTGTTTCCCCCTTCAAGCCATACAACTTTTGTCTGAAACATTTCTTTCTAAAGTACATAGTTTATGAAATATTTGACCGGTCCAGGACTTTTGGGACACCCTATATATATATATATATATATATATACATATATATATATAATAAAAAAATATTTAAATAAATTAAACAAAGTTAAAGGCTCCTCTAAATTAACAAAACTAAATAAATAATGAAAGGCAATAAAGAGCTAACGCAGTTGTAGGGCGTGGATAAAATAATTTCCAAAGCAGCGATTCAATTCCAACGATCCATTCGCTTTATTTCAAACGTTTCGGACTCAATTCGAGCCTTCTTCAGTGATTCTGATAAAAACAAATAAAAAATACTATTTTTATTTGTATTTTTTATTTGTTTTTATCAGAATCACTGAAGAAGGCTCGAATTGAGTCCGAAACGTTTGGAATAAAGCGAATGGATCGTTGGAATTGAATCGCTCCTTTGGAAATTATTTTATCCACGCCCTACAACTGCGTTGGCTCTTGATTGCCTTTCATTATTCAAAAAATATTTATTTTTCAATTATCTTACCTTAATACTTTTATGTACAAAATAATAAGAGGAATCAATTGGTGTAAAGAAAACACATAATTGTTTCGAAAAAAAAATGTAATTGTTAATTGCAAATTGATATTTTATAAGATATTTTACGGTTTATGTAAAATTAAGAAATAATTTCAAGCCTCATAACTCGGAAGATACTTAATAAGAACTAACTTAATTATAATGTTTTAGAGAGCTCTCGAGATTAGTTATATGAATAAGAGATATGTAACCGTTCCAGAACTTTTGCCCTATCCTGTATATTCTGATGTATCGATAGGTCTCAAGTCGATTAAACACTCCGATAGATAACACAAAACAGCAAAATTATGTGTTGTTAGGATTTCATTGGATTTTCAGAACAAATTTTCAGAAATCCAAAAAGTTGAGAGCAAAACAGCAAAATCGTCAAAAAAAAAAGAAATAAATACATAAACTTGCTAGAGCTCAATTACAAAAAACAGAGTAGATGAATTGATAGATTTCTTAACGCTGGAAACGAATCTGGCTGCAGAATTTCCCCAACACATTAAGTTTTTGAGTAATTTATGATTAAATAGTTTAAAAATGCCTATTATTATTAACGGGGAAGCATAATTTTTTGAAATATTTTCGCTAATGGCATCGTATAGTATTACTCTTCATCTTTTAAATCCATTTTTGATTGCCGTAGGACAATTTTTTTAGAGAGATATGCAAGTATTAAGTTAAAAGAAAATTTACATAGGCATCAATATGGCAGAACCATCTTGAAATTTGAAAAGTCTTACATTTATCAGATTCAATTGTCGAAAAATGTCTTGTAGAAGTATATCTAATACAGTTGTTACAGATTTTAATAAATTTTTTTAAATTCATATGAATTTATCGCATGGGAACGAAAATCTTGATGTGTATCTCGACTCTTGTCTTTTCGTTGCCATGCTCGTTTCTGATATGCCCAGCGCGTACATCTTATAATCTAACCATGCGAAATGCACTGTTGATTGAATGCAATGCAATTCTTTTTAATTAATATTTTAATAAAAATTAAATAATTATGTAATATGAAAATTACAAAATGGTAAAGATTTTCTATTCAGTTTACTTTACTTTGCCTCATGAACGTTGATATAATTATTCTGAAATATTCTGTATATGTGTCTTATTCTTGTTTCCGAATTGTAATGTTATATTCCAATGTTTGTATTCCAATAATAGAGCTGCTTACTCTTATTAAGAAGTGTTTATCTTCAATCTGAATACAAATATGTCATATAATACTACACTTTTTTAAAAATATGAGGTTTGTCGGATTCATCGGATTGGCAGTCTTCTCATATACGACAAAGTATTTCAATGTAGGAGGGTTGTAAATAAACAATTATTTTCAAGCCGCGTCACAAATAAAAACCTAATGATATAATAAATTTTAGTCTAGAGAATGTACAGGCTAGCCAATAAGGCCTGCATGATCTATTCTTTTTGTTAAGAAATCATTAATATAAGAAATACCAACATGACTATAACTCGGAAACAAAATCTGATAGGATATACGTAAATATGAATTTTTATCATTGTTTTTATGTCTTCTGTTTACTGAAGTGGGACCCGTTTATCATGGAATACTTTATATAATAATCTAATAATAATGATCCGAAAAATATATTCTGTTTGTTATAGTAACAAATTCGTTGAAAGATCCAATCCCAGGATGGATAGATAACTTTAATGGACCAATGGGACTATGTGCATTTGGTGGAAAAGGATTATTTCGAGTAGCATATGGTAGTAACTGTACTTCACAAAATGACATGCCAATAGACATTGTTATCAACACTATAATTCTTGTAACTTGGAAGCTTGGATTAACAACGTATGTAACATCAATTTATTTATTAATACATTTCTAACTGTATTAAGCTACGAGGTTAAGAAGGGAAGGTTAAGAAGGGAAATTAATTAATTTCCATTCTTAACCTAATTTCAAACTAAATTTATATTATGCTATCATTATGCAAACATTAAATTATTCCATTTGCTTTTTTGCATTAAGGAATTAAAAACTAACATATTTATTTTCGATTGAATTTGTATACAATTTTCTTTTGGATAAGATTAAACAGAGATGTTTAAAATAATTCAACAACATTTTTTTTATATTTATATATTTAATATTTAATTATTAATATATACTTAATATATTTAATATACTTATACTTAATATACTGAATTTAAAATATATAGAAATAAAATTTTTGAAATTCTATAATAATATTGTGATATTCTAGCAATCTCATATATATTATCTTTTAACAATAAGATATTTCTGAATCTTAAAGTAATCTTTTTAAATCTTATATATAAAGCATATTAATTAATTTATATTATTATTATCATTAGTTTTACACCAAAGTCTACATTTTTGGTCATAAACTGTACTTTTCCTGAAAAAAGTACATCATTTCAAGTCGAAACAAATATTATACTAAAATTATTAAAAAAGATACCTTTAGAAGGAACTGTCTGGACCCCTCGTGTTGTATTTACTAAGAGTTTAATTATATATTATGTGTTGACAATGTTGTTGCAAATTTTACCAGCTATAATATTAGATTTAATTTTAAAATTTTCGGGACATCAATCTGTGTAAGTACCAAATGTGTTATTTTTATGTGTTAGCTATGTGTGTTTTTTATACATCAATTGATTCCTTTCATTATTTTGTGTATAAAAATATTTAAGTATAAGTAATATAATCGAAAAATGAATATTTTATGAGATTTTATAGTTTATGTGTAAAATTAAGAAATTCAAGTTTCGTAACGTACACGCACCGGCAGGAATGTCCGGTATGTATATGTTGACGGTCGATATTATACGCACACACAATGCGCACGTACGTGAGCCAAAAATTTATTCTTCATTAAATTTTATCTTTTTATATAGTTTAATTATTATATAATTTAATAGAATGAATGCTGACCTTTAGTGCATGCGGTTTCTTAAACAACAAAAAAAGTGTATGTATGTGTATACACAGCGGTGTGAACGCCGCTTGAGGGACAAAGCTTTGCGCGTGTGCGTGCGAGCATATATACGTGAGTCTGAATCTGAAGAAAAAGGAAGAGAAGAACGAAAAATGCATAGACATAGTAAGTATAGACCGAGCATCCATTGTATAAGCGTTAAGCATACGAAAAGAAAGACAAAAGATGTAAGATGAGTTTCTTTCTCTTTTTAATCCCATCTCCTCGCACCTCCATGACAAACCGGCGCGAGCAGATGTGGAGAAGTGCTACCCGGCATGGAAAGAGAAAGAAACTCATCTTACATCTTTTGTCTTTCTTTTCGTATGCTTAACGCTTATACAATGGATGCTCGGTCTATACTTACTGTGTCTATGGAAAAATGTCATAATTCTGATATTCGATCATCATTTCTCAGGATTGACTACACCGATTTTATTTAAACAGGTCGCAATCGAAAGTTTGTATTCATTATATCATAAAAATGTCGTTAGATTTTTTATTTCGGCTTTAGTTTATTAAATATCTTACTCGAAAGTTTACTTGACGTGAAATTCCGCACTTCCGTTAAATAGGGGGTTAAATAGGGCACTTGATACTACCAAGTTAGTAGCGCCGCGTCGAGAACAATGGCCCTCAATGCTTGGACCTGTTTTTTTATGTACTTAGCTTATGTACTTAGTTTTTTTATGTACTCGTGATGCTACCGCGTAGCTTGATATGATCCATGGACACCCCAACATAAAATTAACATAAAATGGATATCCATAGGATATCGAGTGCTGTCTGGGCTTTTAAACCATCCTCCTTTTGTAGAAAGTCGGCGAGCATAAAGAAGTAAACCATTTTGCATTACCATTGTACAAAATTAAATAAATACCCATAAAATACTGAGTAAATATATATATAATGTTCGTTATTTTCAGTTGAAAATGTAACTCGTTATGATAGACTTTTCCCGCGTTGCTTTGTTCTTACGCATAAGCACGACAATAACAACGAGTACTGTCGTGCAGTGAATATATTACAGCATGATTCCGCGGTATATAAAAAATATAAATTTTATATTTTGCATTTTTCCGATTTGAAAATAATTGCAATAAATTAATGAGATTTTTGCGATTAAAATGAAATCAAACCTAATATATAATAATAATAATATAAATCGAATCTCTTAATCAAATTAATTATTAAATCAACAAAATTTCATAAAAGGCTTAAGGGACCAACGCAAAGGTAAAAGATGCGAAAATAAAAAACGGTTATATTAGTATAATAACCTAATAAAACTTTTATTTAAATCAAGTGACAAATGCTGCGTTTCGACCTAATTCGGGTCCTTATCAATGTCAAATCGCAAAATACCAGTAAGCAAAAATAAAATTCAATATAACAGTCATTAATAATAAGTGACGGAAAGACACAAAGCAAAATAAATAGTGATAAAAAAGTCAAAAAAGTCAAAGTCAAATACGCAAATAATGGGCGAATTTAAACGCACAAAAAGCGCAATGCAATGATGGGCAAACCCATGATGCCTATGGATTGTCAAAAATACATAAAAAGGAATGCCCGTTACGTGTGATTGTCTCTTGTATTAACAGTCCTTTATACTCTTGTATTAACAGTCCTTTATACTATTGGCGCCTTTTCTCCACGGCATCCTATACAAGAATTTGCTGAATCCGAGAAGCCATATCGAAAACAGTTTTGAATTAATTAAAAAACTTAATAATTTTTACTTAGAAGACAACTATGACTTGGCGTCTTTGGATGTTGTGAGTTTCTTGTGTCTTTTCACCAATGTTTCTTGTGTCTTTTCACCAATGTTCCACTTGATTTGGTTATTGGAGGAATTGCGAAACGATAGCATTTCATTGAAAAGAATATCAGTATTCCATACGGTGAATTTGTTATTTCTCTTAAACTGATTATGGATTCCACTTATTTCAAGTTTGATAATGTCATTTATAAACAGATTTTTGGCACTCCGATGGGCTCCCCGCTTTCCTCGATTTTGGCAGATATTATCATGGCGGATTTGGAGGAAAGAGCAATTTCATCCCTCCCAGTTTCTCTTCCTTTTTACATACGCTATGTCGACGACATTGTTCTTGCTGTTCCTAGACAATTTATCCATCACATTTTCCAGATGTTTAATTCACTTCACAACAGATTGAGTTTTACCATTGAATACTTTAATAATTGTAGTATAAATTTCTTGGACACACACTATTATCATTAACAAGAATTACATTGAATTCAATTGGTACAGGAAACCGACTTTTTCAGGGAGACTTCTCTCATTTTTTTCACACCACCCTCTGTCACATAAAAGAGGAGTGGTTATCGGCTTGACTGATAGGATTTTTAGATTTTCACATCCGCGTTTTCATAACGATAATTTTTCTTTTATCATCTCAATTTTATTGAACAATGGTTATCCGATACATTTCATTTTTCAAACGATTACTCAAAGACTCAAGTTTTTAATTTTTACTAAGAGCAATGACGTTGACTTGCATTTCCATACTCCCTCCTCTCCTACTCTTTCTCCTTTTTTCACCATTCCTTTTTCCTCAAGTTTTCCCAGAAATTTCATTTCGAATATCAAGAAATATGCGAATAGAAGATTGGCTTACTCTGTGAACAACAAACTGAACTCTCTCGTCAGATTGCATAAGGATCCTTTACCTGATCTCCACCATTCTAATGTCATTTATAAGATCAGCTGTCTAGATTGTGATGCTTCTTATGTGGGTCAGATGAAGAGGAAACTAATAACTAGGATCAAGGAACACCGCTCTGATATCAATAAGACATCGGGGTCTCTCTCGGTTGTGTCCCTTCATAGAATGGAAGGTCATGAATTTGACTGGGCAAACATCTCCATTTTAGAAGAAGAACCGGGATATAAAAAGAGACTAATTGCAGAAATGTTACATATTCTAATCAGAATCACGGTATCAACATCCAGAGTGACACGGAGTTCCTTGACAAGATATATTTGCCAATTATAAAGAAATTCTCACAATGATTTCTTCGAAATGTTTCCTTTCATCATTTCTTTATCCTTCATTCTGATGGTGATATCTTTCTTTCCCCCTCTTTCCTTTTTTGGGGATCTTGCGTCGCCTCTTTGCGTTCTCGTATCTCTCAGTCCGGCGCTGTCGATTAGAGAGTTTGTGTCGTGCCTGTATTGCTCTCTCCTCGAAGGATTTCCGTGTTCTGCTTACCTTCATTTTGGGGAAGGGTACGCATTTTTATCTATTTCTAATCGTTTCACATCGTATTATTTTTTGTCTTACTTTTAATTTATTCTTTATAACTTTTTTATTTTTTAAATTTTGATAAATTGATTCCCGTACTATCTTTTGGGGTTTTTAATGTCATTTAGGGGGGTTTACACATTTTTTGTTGTTTTTCTCTTTTATAGTATGCCACCCGAATTAAGGTTTAATCAGAGCACATTGGGCTCCATTGCATTTTGGCTGGTCATCGACCTAGGCTTCTTTGACTGCCTTGTATTAATGAGATGTTTGTGGACCTTATGACTGGGTTTCCTTGTCGGCGTGCGTTTTTCGAGGGTGGAGCGACATGGTTTTTGTCATGGCATACCAGGAATTTGGATCATGGGTTTGCCCATCATTGCGTTGCGCTTTTTGTGCGTTTAAATTCGCCCGTTATTTGCGTATTTAATTTTGACTTTTTTGACTCTTTTATCACTATTTATTTTGCTTTGTGTCTTTCCGTCACTTATTATTAATGACCGTTATATTGAATTTTATTTTTGCTTACTGGTATTTTGCGATTTGACATTGATAAGAACCCGAATTGGGTCGAAACGCAGCGTTTGTCACTTGATTTAAATAAAAGTTTTATTAGGTTATTATACTAATATAACCGTTTTTTATTTTCGCATCTTTTACCTTTGCGTTGGTCCCTTAAGCCTTTTATGAAATTTTGTTGATTTATCGTACGGACCTTTACTGTGTTTAGTTTAATTATTAAATTTTAATCATATATTTAATTAAAAATGATCCGATTTACGTTATTTTTAATTACTTTGAAAAATTCATTTTAACTAATATATTTTATTATTTACTCATTAATTTTATTAATGATTTATTTAATTTTGAATAAATCTCTCTCTAATTCGTTATAATTACACCCCTATAATACAATTAATATGTATTTTTTACATTTGCAGTAAGAAAAATTTTTAGGACAATTGATCATAATTTGCAGGTATTTACGAGTCAAGAGAAAAGTTATTATAAATATATATAGAATCAATTTACAAAAATAAATGGATTTTATTAATTTATATTATTAAACATATATAAGTGTATATAAGTTTATTTCAATTATTGGGTGGAGTTCCGAATAGGTGAACCCTCCGATTTTTTTGAGACTATACTATTTTTTTGTATTTTTGTACGCTGATTACGAATATGATAATGAAAATTTGCTACTAGGTCATTTTCAAGGTCAAAACTCCAAAAAATTGAAAAAAATATCAGTTTTTTGACATTATTTCGATAAATATTCATGTATAAAAAAAATGTTTCAAATAAAAGTTGTAGTTCTTGTAAAAATATATCATTTATGTTGTATCAT